TTGGCAAGTGATGTCTGGGTAGTTCAGAGCACAGACTGTGTTAACTTCACAAGACTCCCTGACCTCAGAAGCTCTCTCAAGGGCCCCAAGCCACACTGACCAGCAGGGACCTAAATCTGGCACAATTTCACTACGTGCAATTGTGGGAACTTGGGTTGACTCTTTAAAAATAGAAGAGAAGAAGGTGATGGACCCAAATGAAACACACTCTGGCTCAGGGTTTTCCAAAGTACATCACAGCTCACAGTTCATAGTGGGTTTTGAGAAAGCCGATTTACTGGACTGGTCTATTTAATATTGCTAATGTGGGCATAATTTCCTCTGAATTTTTTTTTTTTTTTTCTGACAGGCAGAGTGGATAGTGAGAGAGAGAGACAGAGAGAAAGGTCTTCCTTTGCCGTTGGTTCACCCTCCAATGGCCGCCGCGGCCGGCGCACCACGCTGATCCGATGGCAGGAGCCAGGTACTTCTCCTGGTCTCCCATGGGGTGTAGGGCCCAAGTGCTTGGGCCATCCTCCACTGCACTCCCTGGCCACAGCAGAGAGCTGGCCTGGAAGAGGGGCAACCGGGACAGAATCCGGCGCCCCAACCGGGACTAGAACCCGGTGTGCTAGCGCCGCTAGGTGGAGGATTAGCCTAGTGAGCCGCGGCGCCGGCCTCCTCTGAATTTAAATATTTGTAAGTTTTTTGACAACTATTTTATCTGACATAATCATGGGATTTCCTTCCTGAACTTTTTGTTTCTTTTATGACTCATTTTCATATATCTGTGTACATGTTACAGTGCAAATTGTACTTCTTACCAGGAGCTGGGGGAAAAAAAATTCAAAAAGCACTGCTTTGGCAGACACTTGGACCAGGAAAGGAAGCGTGGGCCCAGTTTTTTGGTGCAGTGGGTTAAACTGCCACTTGTGATGCCTCCATCTCATCTCGGAATGCCAATTCAAGTCCTGGTTGTTCTGCTTCGGGTCCAACTCCCTGATAATGTTCCTGGGAAAACAACATCTGTTGATGGCCCAAATACCTGGGTCCCTGCTGCCCACACAGGAGACCTGGATAGAGTTCCTGGCTCTGGCTTGGCCCAGCCTGAGCCATCATGGCCATTTGGGGAGTAAAACAATAAAGGAAGATTGATCTCACTCTCATAATTTTTTTTAAAGATTTTATTTATTTATCTGAGAGGTAGAGTTACAGACAGAGAGAATGAGAGACAGAGAGAGGTCTTCCATCCTCTGGTTCACTCCCCAAGTGGCCACAATGGTTGGAGCCAAAACTCGGAGCCAGGAGCTTCCCCCTCCCCCATCCCCATCTCCCATGAGGGTGCAGGGGCCCAAGCACTTGGGCCATCTTCCACTGCTTTCCTAGGCACAATAGCAGAGAGCTGGATTGGAAGTGGAGCAGCTGGGACTCGAACCAGCACCCATATGGGATGCCGGCACCACAGGTAGAGGCTTGGCAAACTAAACCACACTGCCAACCCCAAATAAATATTTATTTAAAAGAGAGAAACAAAGTAGATCTTCAATTTTATCACAAGAGATGTTTTGCCAAGCTTGTTTAAAATGAAAGAACAAAGGCGCGGACGATAAGGAAGGACACAGTCTCAGTACTTCCAGAGCGACGACCTTGCCATCGGCTTTGTGCTTGACCCAGCAAGAGTCAGCGGGGGTAGGGGTGGGGTGACAGTAGTGGGCAGAGGCTTATCAGGAAATTTGCTTGCTTTCTAGATGAAGAGAGTTTAAGCAATTCATTCAAAGTCACAGTCAGTAAGGGGCAGATTCCGAATTTCAACCTGATAATCTTCTGACTGTTCACGGTTTCTCAGCCACAGGGGAGGGAATAAGAGGGAAATGCAATTTGTTTCTTAAAAGTTAACTCTGAACAGTTCTCCTTAGGTCTAAAAGATGACTCCCATATCACCAGGGCTGGTGCACATTAAGCCTCGCTCACGCTGTTCAGCTTCTGGGTTAAGTGCTTTTACCCCTTCGTTCAGTCCTCATGAAAGCTTTCTTATCATCCCTTCAACACTCAGGAACTTGCCCAGTTACAGACACATCATGGAAGCAGATCTCCATGAAATACTTGCATGCGGTTTTACCCACATTCCTACATATATTTAGCAAAAATATCTGCTAAAACAATTCCCCCTGAAAGCGCTGGAGTCAACAGCTGAAACCTCCATTTCTCACCTATGAAATGGAACTGCATTTAGATGCTCACTTAGGACTGGTTCACTTTCAGCACTGTCTGCTTCTAAAATGTGTCGTGCAGGTGGGCTTTCCTTTAAAGAACATGGGACAGGCACCACACTGTCCTACTGTGTGACCTTCCTACTGCACCCTCCCAGCTACTCACACTGGGTGACTGGCTCGGAAAGGCTTGGAGCTCTGCTTTCTGAAGTTCCTATCTCTTCAGCAATTTGCTTAAAATAAGAATGTACTCTTTGGTTATAAGCACTGTATCTGAAGAGTGCTCAGAGTTCAGTATTATTCATAAAAGTTAGTTTAAAAAAAACTATTTATTTGAGAGGCAGAGTTACAGAGAGAGGGAGAGACAGAGAGGAAGGTCTTCCATCTGCTGGTTCACTCCCCAGATGGCTGCAACGGCTGGAGCTGGGCTGATCCGATGCCAGGAGCTTCTTCTGTGTCTCTCACATGGGTGCAGGGGCCCAAACACTTGGGCCATCCTCCATTGCTTTCCCAGGTGCATTAGCAGGGAGCTAGACTGGAAATGGAGCAGCTGGGAATTGAACCAGCGTCCATATAGGATGCTGCCACAGGAAGAGATTTAACTTACTATGCCATAGCACCAGCCAAATTAGTTTTTTTTTTTTTAAATATTATACTGGGGCCAGCGTTGTGGAGGTGTGTATGTGGCACAGTGGGTTAAGCTGCTGCCTATGACACCAGCACCCTATATCAGAGTGCCACTTTTGAGTCCCAGGTGCTCCACTTCTGATCTAGATCCTTGCTAATGTACCTGAGAGGGCAGCTGAAGATGGCCCAAATACTTGGGTTCCTGCCTCCCATGTGGGAGACTTGGATGAAGCTCTTGGCTCCTGGCTTTTGTCTGGCCCAGCCATGGATGTTGTGGCCATTTGGGGAGTGAACCAGAGAGAAGTCCTCTGTCTCTCGTTCTTTCTACTTTTTAAATAAATAAACAAACAAATCTATGTTTTAAAAGAGACTTTTCATACACACACACACACACTGATGACTTAAGAATTGGATTTTAGGGCATTGTGGCATAGCAGATAAAGTCACCACTTGCAATACTGGCATCCCATATGAGCATTGATTCAAATCCCGGCTGCTCCTCTTCAGATCCAGCTCCCTGCTAATGAACCTGAGAAAGCAGAAAAGACAGCCCAAGTGCTTGGGCCCCTCACCCATGTGGGAGAACTGGAAGAAGCTCCTGGCTCCTGGCCCAATCCTGGCTGTTGTGGCCACTTGTGGAGTGAATTAGCAGATGGAAGATTTCTCTCTCCTCTAACTCTACCTTTCAAATAAATAAATCTCTTTTTTTTTCAAAGTTGGGTTTTATACCCTCATGGGATTTTTGTCTGTTACCATCCTGTCCCAGATGCCTGCTGTCCACAAAGTCCTAATTGTGGGGAGAGGGTGCTGTGGACAAGGGTGGGAGCAGATCCTCGTCCTCCTGAAGAGGCAGAGCAAGCAGCTGCAGAGACCCCCAGCTGCTACGGAGTTGGAGAGGAACACATGAGAACAAGAGAAAAGACTGGGCAAGCGGGTGGGATTTTTAGGTGAGGTTTAGCCTCTTTCCTTGTGCATCATCAGTGACAACCACTTAGTCTTGCCAGCTCCAGACAATGTATAGAGGATCTGTCCTGCTGAAAATCTTGTAACTCGGAGGGCTGTGGCTATTGCATTTTTCTAGTTTTCCTACTCTTTTGCAATCCTCCTTCCCTTTTCCTCTTAGCATTCGGTTGAGATTATAGAATCGTGTCTGAATGAGATTGGGCTACACTTGAGTAGCTTATAAAGCTCACAAGCTTGACCTTATAAAAGGGAAATTCTGCCCATCCCTTCATATTAAATTTTTTTTTCCTCAAAAAGTACAAGACCCAAACTGGTCTGTGAGCAAATCCTAAACTATCCTCCCAAAGACAACTTAGAGCTAAGAAGGCAGCTACCCCTAAAAGAAAGGAGGAAAACAGGGAAAACGAAGTGAAACAGTGGAACTTCCAGGGGAACTTGCACATTCTTATTTGCAAAGTCACACCTCCATCCGGATTTGAAAATTGCTAAAAGGGCCTGCAGGTGCCTACCTGCTCTCTCCCAGCAGACACACACTCTTCTCCAAGAACTCCACCCAGACACACAAAACCAAGCTTCCCAAAGCAGAGAGGGGCCTGGTGTGGAAAGGAAGAGGAGGAAGCTGAGCGGTAGGTGTTTGGGCACCAGATGGGGGAGATAATGGACTAGGAGCAGAGTTAGGGGAGCGAGTGGATTCAAAGCAGGAAAGCGACCCTGAACTTCCGGAGCCAAGAGGCATAGGCCATGGCCCTGTAAAATAACCTCGGAATCCGGACGAACATTTCCCTTACATTCTGAGGATATGTTATAAACCCTCAGGAACGGACTAAACGCAATCCCAGGCCAATATGGTTACCAGGCTAACACCTAACGCAAGCCTCAGACAAAACGGAAAAACGAATTAGGAATATTAAGGACGGTGTTTTTGCCTTCATCAAGTCACCTTTGGGGTTTAAAAAGCGCCTTACGGTTGCAGAAGGGGAAGCCCAAAGGCACTAGGTTTCTTTCTTAGTTGCTCCTGTTTCAGAAGGGCCTGGCCGAATCAAAAAGGAAAACAACAAGTTCCCACGGCCAGAAACCTCCAGGCGCCAGCGCCAGCACCAGCTCCGCCGGAACGCGGCCCAAGCCTCCTCCACCCTGCCCCCGGCCAGCTCGCCAGGGCCAGGCCACAATGGCTTCCTGTCTCCTCGGGCCCGGGGTGGGTCCCACTTTCCCACGGCTCACCTGCTGGGAGGCAGGTGAAGAGGAGCAGCCATGGGACTGGCAGCTCAGGGCCCATGGCGGCCCCTCTCTGACCCTCAGTTCAGGGACCTTCGGGGCACCGTGCCTTTCTTCATCAGCTGCCGCCCCAGGACGCGCCGCTGCTCCGGCGAAGCCCCGCGCTGCGCGTCGCGCGGTGGGAGGGTCCGCTGCGGTCCCCGGGCAGGTGACGCCGGGCTCGGGCGCACCTGTGGCGCTCCAGGCGGCTCCGCCTCCAGCCCCGCGCCGCCGCGGTTTCCTGCTCCGCCCCCGGAGGACCCGGGCACCTTTCCCACCTGCGGCCACCCACTCTGACGGCTGCCTGGTGAATCTCCTCCTTCCCACCTGTGTCCTGCAACACACCCCGCCCTCGGGCGCACCAAGTGACCGTTTTCTTCCAGAAGTTCTCCGGAAATCGCACCCCTTGCAGATTTCTCCCCCTCTCTTTCTGGGACTAATTCGGCTCTAACTTTCTAAAGTGGGTTACCATGCGCTTTGAAAACATTTGTTTCCCACTAAAAACACTAGCGAGGTTCACACTTCATGTCTGTTCAGGTTTTCTAGAAACTAAAGGTTAATTTCTAGAAATTAGTGTATGAATTATAAAAAAAGGACTCGATTTTCCACAATTATAAAAGCAACATGCTTATTATGGAAAAGGATTAAAAATTGAAATAAACAACTTTCCTTTCATAGGTAGGAACGATTAATATTGGTATATGCGGCCGGCGCCGGGGCTCACTAGGCTAATCCTCCCCCTTGCGGCGCCGGCACACCGGGTTCTAGTCCCGGTCGGGGCGCCGGATTCTGTCCCGGTTGCCCCTCTTCCAGGTCAGCTTTCTGCTGTGGCCAGGGAGTGCAGTGGAGGATGGCCCAAGTGCTTGGGCCCTGCACCCCATGGGAGACCAGGATAAGTACCTGGCTCCTGCCATCTGATCAGCGCGGTGCGCCGGCTGCGGTGGCCATTGGAGGGTGAACCAACGGCAAGGGAAGACCTTTCTCTCTGTCTCTCTCTCTCACTGTCCACTCTGTCAAAAAAAAAAAAAATTGGTATATGAGGGTACTTCAAAATATGTGTGAAAAATGCATATTACAAAAAAAACTGTGTTGATTTCAAATGTGGGGGGCATTCAAATAAACTTACTTTTTTTTAAACTTTTATTTAATGAATATAAATTTCCAAAGTAGGACTTATGGATTACAATGGCTTCCCCCCCATACTGTCCCTCCCACCCGCAACCCTCCCCTTTCCCACTCCCTCTCCCCTTCCATTCACATCAAGATTCATTTTCGATTATCTTAATATACAGAAGATCAGCTTAGTATACATTAAGAAAGGATTTCAACAGTTTGCTCCCACAGAAACATAAACTGAAAAATAATAGATGATTTTTTTAAATGATGATGAAATCAGATCAGACCTATTGTCATGTTTAATCCCAGTGAGAGTCAAGTTGGGAATTGATAATTTCTTTTTTTTTTTTTTTTTTACAGAAGATCAGTTTAGTATGCATTAAGTAAAGATTTCAACAGAAATAAACTTATCTTTTAATTCCATTTTCCAGAAACTTTGAAATGCCCTGATAGTTCCCCCTTTTTTTCCCATTGTGCATTGCCACTCAGCAACCTTCACAGACCTAAACCCTTCCAAGGTCAAGGTTTTGACCTTCGACCTTGCCGAGACCTGGTGTCTTCCACACTAGCCACCTAGAAAGTATTCCCAGGCTCTCTTTCCATAGCAGGAACCCACAGGAAGGGCCAGAGAGGGAGGGGAAGTGCAGGAAGGGCACACCTGCCTTCAGGAACCAGCCAAGCCATGGACATTCACTCCAAAAGTCCCATAGGCACTGGACAAGGTCAACAGTCAGCAAGCTGTTTATACACCTCTCCCTCAGCAGGGATTCTCATTAACTTTGCTCCCCAGTCTGTAGCAAACACCATTCTTCCCCTCCCCCCCACCCCTCAGTCAGCAGCTTTTTTCTTCAAGAAAAGGATTATAAAGGTGCAGTAAAAGAATGAATTTCTTTCATTTGCTCCAAAATGTTGAAACTAGAGTTGTTGAGTGAAATCAGCCAGAGAAAGACAGATGATATCCACAAGCTGTACTTTGCAAATTTACATGCATTAAATAAAAGTTAAAAAAAAAAAAAAGACAGATGCTGCAGGTTCTCCCTTGCATGTGGGAGCTAAAATTAAAAAAGAAAGGCCCATACCTATCACTTTTGCCACAATACAATGCTTTGTCAGACTTCAAATATTGATCCTACAAGCTGATAGGACTTATATAGTGCAGTATTAATGGTTTTGTGACTTTTAAATTTCATGTGCATGAAGCTGAACATCTTTTCATTTGATTCTTGTTTATAGCCCTTGCCTATTTTCTTGCTGGACTATGTTTTTTCTTTTTCTTTTTTTATTTGAAAGAGTTAGAAAGAGGTAGAGACAGAGAAAGAGGTCTTCCATCCGCTGGTTCATTCCCCAGATGGCTGCAACGGCCGGAGCTGCGCCGATCCGAAGCCAGGAGCCAGGAGCTTCTTCTGGATCCCCACAAGTGTGCAGGGGCCCAAGGACTTGTACTGCTTTCCCAGGCCATAGCAGAGAGCTGGATGGAAGTGGAGCAGCCGGGACAAGAACGGCACCCATACAAGATGCTGGTGCTTCAGGCCAGGGCTTTAACCCGTTGAGTCAGAGTGCCCGCCCCTGGACTATATCTTTTTAATCTGTTGAACTCTTTACTTAATAAAGTCATTAAGTCTTTGATTATACTGTAAATTACAGATATGTGATCTCAAAAAATAAACTATTAAGTTGAAAAACAAACACACACGGTCTCAAGAAGCTCCTATTCTGATCACTGACCTTAGAAGTCCCTATTATTTCTCCTAAGTGGGCTACCTGCCCTGCTCCACTTCGCAGGGTGCTAATAGTGTCTCTCTTGCCTCTCTCAGAGGTGCACCCTTGTCCGGAATCTGTCCCTAACCCAGTCCCAATTCCCCTTCTTCCTGCTGCCCTCTCCACTCCTAGAACTGCCCCTCTGGTTCCCGCAGTGGGTCTGTTCACTTTAAATGTTATTCTTGTAGCCTCTTCTCTTCCAGAAAATAGGAAGTAAATGCAGGAAGTGTGTGGCCCTGGGTAGATGGTGAAGTACAAGTGTACTTCAAACACTCGTGGAAGGGCCTGCACTGTAGTCAGCTGGTTAAGCTGATGACATGGGCATCCCATATCGGAGTGCCAGTTTGAGTCCCAGGGGTATTCTGCTTCCTGTCCAGTTTCCTGCAGATGCACCTGGGAAGGCAGCAAATGGTGGTCCAAGTAGCTTGACCCTTGCCACCCATGTGGGAGACCAGGATAGAGTTCCTGGCCCTGGTTTCAGCCTGCTCAGAATCTAGCTGTTGGGCTGGCGCTGCAGCTCACTAGGCTAATCCTCCCCCTTGCGGCGCCTGCACACCGGGTTCTAGTCCCGGTCGGGGCACCGGATTCTGTCCCGGTTGCCCCTCTTCCAGGCCAGCTTTCTGCTGTGGCCAGGGAGTGCAGTGGAGGATGGCCCAAGTGCTTGGGCCCTGCACCCCATGGGAGACCAGGATAAGTACCTGGCTCCTGCCATCGGATCAGCGTGGTGCGCCGGCCACAGCACGCCAGCCGTGGTGGCCATTGGAGGGTGAACCAACGGCAAAGGAAGACCTTTCTCTCTGTCTCTCTCTCTCACTGTCCACTCTGCCGGTCGATCGAAAGAGGAGCAGCGGGGACTTGAGGAATCTAGCTATTGTGGTCACTTGAGGAGTGGACCAGCACGAGGGAGATCTTTCTCTCTCTCTGTCTCTCCCTCCTTTCTCTCCATCTCTCCACTTTTCAGATAAATCTCTTTTTTAAATTCATGGAAATAGGATATTCCAAGTCAATATTTCCATGAACTTTTTGAAGTTCCCTCCTCTGAGTAGGAGCTTTTACAGCTCTCATGGTAGGATTTCAGCACAGCTACAGCAGGGGGGACAGCTGCAGTGGGAGTGAGGGTGCCCCTCCCCCAGCCCCTAGACCCTGCGCATGCTCCTAGGAGTGTTGTGTATGTTTGGGTGCTTGTGGCCCCGAGCCATTGCTATGGTTTCTGGCTTTGTGAATTGTTTGCCACAAATTTTCAGTCCCAGCCTAAAATAACATTGAGCCCCTTCCTTCCCACATTTACATGCCAGACCCTTGAGTGCGTTCCTGGACATTGAGGCCATTCTAATATCCTTCCAAGCCAGCATTTGTGTTTGTTTTGTGAGAAAGTAGTTTAACGATATTTTATTAAAGAGCTTATAAAAAGGGGCTCTAAGATCAAATCAATTTGAAACATGCTGGCTTAAACTAATTAAACATATTTTAGGACTTACCTTTCGGTGTTAGTCTACATTTGAATCTCCATAGGAACATGCATGAAACATTACCCAAAGTTACTTAAATACAAAATCCTTTTTTTTTCCCTCAAATACATCTCAGGGAATACATTTTAGGAAATCCTGCTAGGATAAAAAATGGGGGGGGGGGGGTAAATTAGAGACTTCTACAAAAACAAGACAAAAATGACTATACTAAAGGTTATCCAAAGTGCAGTAGAATTGGAATTTCATTATTTTCTCCCAGGAATCACATATTCAGTTGAACATCCACTGCATTGCTTTTCTTGGAGCACTTGGGTTCATTTTACTTCTGTTTATTACATGCATCTTTCCCCACCATCATTATCTTGTGCACACCAATCAATGTTCTCAGTGCTTCACTTGCCACAATAACTCTGAAATAGATGCTGCTGTTATCAATCCCATTTTATAAGTGTGGAAAATGAGGTACAAGAGATAGCTTGCCCAAGGTTACAAAGCTACAAAGCGGTGGAATAATGAGTCCACAGCTTGTGCTCTTAGCTATTACACCATAAATCCTCACCTAGCAATGTCAGAATCTGTGTTCATTGTTAGCTGACCCTATCAGTATGTGCTAATTCAGTTTATTTCCACAGATGCAATTTAGCTCTACATAAAGGAAAATTCAATTCCCCAGTCTGAGACTCTCCCAGGCTAGTCATTCTTCCAAAATGTGCTACTGGTTCAATGAAGGTTATGTACAAGTGTCTGGTTCAGAACAACCAACAGTTCTTCCATCGCTAGACAGAGAAGTAAACTAATTGCTTGACCTGCTGCTAGTGGCTGAGACAACTATCCTCACATTCACAGTAATAATAATCACTATGATTTATTAAACGCTTACATTGTGCTAAACCCTATTCTAAGTGCTTTTTGTATTGAATCTCCATAATAGTTT